TATGCTTGTCCTGACTTGAGCGTCGGAGTGCCTTTTGCAGGTACCTCCCCCCTCTGAAGCATCAACCCGAAGCTCTCGTTCGGCCCTCCAGTTACTAGAAGACTACGAGTGTGCCCTTAGACAGGTACATTTTGGCGCCCACCGTGGGGCCGAGCCGAGAGACTTAAGAAGACCAACTGAGTGAGAGCATTATGGCAAAGACAAGGAAGGCCAACACCGAAGACCACCGATCCGAAGACGAACACCGATCCGAGGCAGACAATACCGAGATAGTTGACGAGACAAACATGGCCGAAGTGGTACGGCAGATGAAGGAGGAAATGGCCTCCATGAAGCAACAACGAGAGAAGGATGCTCGCGAAATGGCCGCCTTGAGGGAAGAGAACGCCGCCCTGAAACACCAAAATCAAGATCCCACGTGGAAACCCTCCGAGCCAACCCACACTTAGGGGTCATTCCACTCACTCAGACATCATACCTCCATCCCTCGCACCGTTTTAAAAAAAAACCCCATAATTTTACGTTGGACATGGCCTGTCCGACGTAAATTTAAGTTGGGTCTTGCAATGGCCGACGTAAATTTACGTCGAACAAGCCATGTCCGACGTAAAACTATGGCATGTTTTTTGTCCCTTTTTACGTCGGGCTGGGATAATATCCGACGTAAATTTACGTCACGTTTTAGAGGCGACGTAAATTTACGTCTTCCGTATTAACGTCGAAACCTTTTCCGACGTAAAAGGCTCAAAATACCCGACGTAAAAGACCCTTTGTGTACTAGTGAGGCACAGCACCCATAAATAACCTCCAAATGAAGCATTTAACTTTAGGTGGAACTTTTATGTCCCAAGCTACAGCAACAACCTTTGGAAACTGTGATGAAGAGCCACGATCCATCAAAGCCCGATACCTAGATCTTACTGAGAAGCATCCCGAATTATCCAGTGTCCAAAGCCTTGAGTCTTACTGTACACCCTCTCTTAGTACCCCTGCCTCCACTAGATTCATGAACTGTTGCACATCATTTAATTCCCAAGTGAACCAAGCTCTTCTCCACTGAAATCTCCATTGCCAACTTCCCCTACTCCAATGACCCATATCCACCACCACACTTGACTTTTGCAGTGAATTCGAGAAAATCCTTGGGAATCTATTCGCTAGAGGCTCTGCCTCCGCCCATGCATCAAACTAGAATCGGATTCGGTCACCCACCCCCAACCTCCATGACAATGAATTCATAAACCAAGAGTCACTGGTGTCCTCACCCGAAGCCTTCAATACATCACCCCACCACATAGAATTTGAGCTTCTTCTCAGACGAGTATTGTGCATGATTCTATCACCGTACTTAGATAAGAGAATTCTACCCCACATTGACTCTAGTTGCTGAAAAAGTCCCTAGCGCCACTTAGCTAATAGCGCCTCATTAAAAGCATCCAGCTTCTTAATTCCCAGACCCCCTTCCTTCTTAGGTCGACAAATTTTCTCCCAAGGTACCCATGCCATTTTCTTCTCATCCAGCTTACCACCCATAGAAAGTTGCGTTGAATAGTTGTCAGTTGCTTGGTGACCATCTTAGGCATTCTATAGAATGACATAATGTATAATGGCAAGGAGGTCAACACCAAATTTATCAAGCAAATCCTTCCCGCAATGGACAATGTTGATGCTCTCCAAGACGACAACTTTTTTTAAAAACTCGAGACCACAGGCTACCAAGTTCTACTTCTTCTTGGGTTGGCCCCAATAGGTATGCCCAAATATACAAATAGAATGTTGGACAACTTGCAATGTAATATCTCTACAAAGGAAATTAAGGTCTCTCTCCCCACGCTAATAGCTCCTAAACAGCTCTTGTAAAAGTTAACTTTAAGACCACTTGCCAATTCAAAACTCAGCAATATTACGTTCAAGGTCCTCACATTTTCCACCAATGCTTCTCCCACAAAGATTATATCATCTGCATATTGGAGGATGTTAACTAATTCACCTTTCGATCCCACTTTAACACCTCTGAACAAATTTGAATTCGAAGCTTCTCTAACCAGGCCAGTAAGTCCCTCTGCAACCAAAACAAATAGGAAAGGGGCTAGCGAATCCCCTTGCCTAATCCTTTTTGCATGGAAAATTCAGTTGTAGGGCTTCCATTAACCAGAACTGACATGGAAGAGGTTCTTAAGCACTCACCAATCCAACCTATCCACTTATCTTGAAACCCAAAGCGCCTTAGCATATATAACACAAAGCTCCATAAAACTGAATCATACGTCTTCTCAAAATCAACCTTGAAGTACATGCATGACTTCTTTTTTCGCCTAACCTCATCAAGCGTCTCATTAAGAACCATAGCGCCTTGTAATAATCCCATTCCTTCCACAAAGCTCATCTGCCTCTCATCGACTAAATAAGGAAGCACTACTTTGAGTCTAAGTGCTAGAATCTTTGCGAGTATCTTATACATTCATCCTATCAAAGAAATAGGCTTATACTCATTTAGACTTTGCGGTGTATTAACCTTTGGAATCAAAGAAATAAAAGAGGAGTTGGTCCCTCGAGGTAATTTGCTATTTTCATGGAACTGTTGGACAAAGAGCACCAAGTCCTTTTTCATAATGTCCCAAAATTTCTTGATAAACTTGAAGTTTATGCCATCTGGGCCTGGGCACCTATCACTTGCAAAGACAAACGCCTCGTAAAGATTTTCACATCCCGTGGCAAGCCTGTCGAAATTGAGCCTTGGGGCCTAGGATTTCCAAACCCAAGAACTGAAAGGTAACCCAATTCATTTTCCATTGGATCGAATCAGGTGAATCCATAGATTCGTATATGTCAAATTTGGATTCTGTACATGAAAGTTCATCAGTCTCTCTCTCTAACCCAATTCATTTTGCACACGAAAGTTCATCAATTCAATATCTTTTTCCATCTGGCTTCTGTACACCCAGGATACTATTAATATAATACAATAATACATATAGTTAGAGTAAAGAATTCATGCCTGCAATATAGTTTAAAAACCTAACTACACATATATTGAAAAAATACTCAAGGGAAAAGGTAAGCCCATCTCTCTAAATTTGTCCCTACCATCTTTTTGTGATAGTAAAATCTCATAATATTGAACTAAAAATGGAAAATCTTTCGTTATTATAATTTTTTTTCTCTGAATGAATTTATAATAAGAGTTATTCCACATCATTTAAAAAAAAAGTTTGTCATATTTTTCTGTTAAAAATTGGGTTTTAGGCTCATCTATAGTGACCTGATCTATTGGCCCCTTACACGGTATTAGTGCTAGCTAGTCACAAGAGTATTGATTGATGTCAATAATAGAAACACTTTTTTTTTTGGACAGTAACAGTAGAAACAAATTTATGAACACACTCGTGTAAATTAGATATTAGTATGGAGGAAAATTATCATGACACAATATATAAACACAAAATATTATTGTTCACGAGTCCAAAACAAATAACATGAACATAATTAATATTATTTAATCTTTTATCTAATTATTATAATAGCTGTTTTTTTAGGACAATAATTAGGAAAGTTGCTAAAAATATCAATCATGAGATTGTAAATCATTTTTCAAAGTATATTTTTACCAACTAGTTTATTAGAACATAAATTAAAAACAAAGAATATAAACATTCAGCATATAAATAATGTTATATCTCTATATATAAGTAAGCTACACATAAGAAGAAATATTATGTAATGCTTATATAAATATGTAAATAACTTTTATCTTACATAGTATGAATCTATATTTTTATTTAATTGAGATTTTATAAACAATATTTCCTAAAATACAATTCTAGAAAGAAAACTTTAAAGACAGGTATTACTAGTTCATAAATAGCTATACCTTATTTCCGTTACCGCCACAGCCTCACCGGAGCGGGTTTATTCAAAAAAATATATATAAACCCAAAAAAACCCGTTTATCTGAATAGAATTTGCTTATAAATGCTTTTCTAAAAGTTAATTCATATCAAGCTGTGTGTGAACCTATCATTGCATTGAATACTCAAGAAAAAAAAAATAAAGAAATTAACAAAGATAGAATGGCGCAAACTCAAGAAGTTTCCGGTGCAAACCACCGGCTGCAGACCAACACCGCTTTGTATGTCGGCGATCTTCACCGCAACGTCACCAAAGACGAGCTCTACAATCTCTTCAACCAGATTGGCAATGTTTCTTCCGTTAAGATATGCGAGAACAACTTAACCGGAGAATCTCTCGGTTACGGCTACGTCAATTTCTCTGACCCACTCATCGGTTACTTTCTTTTTACATTCATACCATTATTCTCGCTTCTTTCTTGCTTATCACTATTCTGAACTTTGTTACAATCATGCAGCGGATAAAGCAATAGAAGAGCTGAATTTCACTCCGTTGTATGGTAAACCTATTAGAATAATGAACTGTAACCGGGACCCTAGAGTTCGGAACAATGATGCAGCTAATCTTTTTGTAAAGGTGACACTTTTGTTCATTCTTGAACCTTTCTTTATGATCAACGAACTTTGAAACTTGCTTGTTGAATCTTTTGATTGGTGGTGCAGAATTTGGATAAGGCAGTGGATCACAAGGCTTTACGGGATATGTTTTCTCCCTTTGGGACTATTGTTTCTTACAAGATTGCAACAGATGATTCTGGCGAGTCAAAAGGATTTGGTTTTGTGCAGTTCGAGACTGAACAATCTGCTAAAAACGCAACTTACTCGTTAAATGGTACCATGATGAATGGTAAACAGGTGTACGTGGGTCCTTTCGTGCGGAAGGAGAATAGAGAGAGTACGAGTGCTGCAAGTGGCGACAAGTTTACCAACGTCTATGTGAAAAGCCAGTCCATTTCAACTACGGCTGATGACTTGAAGAGAATTTTTGGAGAGTATGGAGCTATTACAAGTGCTGTAGTGATGAAAAATTCAGAAGGTGTATCGAAATGTTTTGGTTTCATCAATTTTGCAAGTGCAGACGATGCCGCTAAAGCCGTGGGGGAACTAAATGGAAAGACATTTGATGGTAAAGAGTGGTATGTTGGAAAAGCCATGAAAAAATCTGAAAGGCTGCTTGAATTGAAAGAAAAATACGGGGGAAGTGAGAAGGAGAGTGCTGCAAACTTGTATGTAAAGAACTTGAACGATTCTATTGGTGATGCAGAACTCAAGGACCTGTTCTTAAAATTTGGTACGATAACCTCGTGCAAGGTGAGTATGGTCTTTTTCGTCCAATCTTCATCTTCTAAAAGTGTGTTTCTTTTTATCTTTGTACGTAAAATGTGTTTCTTTTCCCTTATCCGCAGGTTATGCAAGATGAAAAAGGCTTCAGTAGAGGATCAGGATTTGTTGCATTTTCGAAGCAGAGGGAAGCAATTCAGGCTGTAAGTATAATACTGTTAGGTTAGGGACTATCCTTTAATATTTCAGAAGAAACTTTATTGCTCATATATATTGACACTTTGTAGCTTGCTATGATGAACGGTTCAATCGTTGCGGGCAAACCTCTCTATGTTTCCTTTGCAGAGAGAAAAGCAGAGAGAAAAGCAAGGTTGCAGGTAATATACATGCAACAATAGGCCAACTATAAATTTTATTAATACATTGTGGTCTTCTTTAAGATCAGAAATTTCTATCATTAGGTCCATAATTAATTGTATAAGATATGGAAGTCACTCTCCTAAGATATCATCGCAGACACATTGAAAACTATAAAATACGATTGTTCATAACATGAGATATATAAATATTTTTTTTATATGTATTGACTCGAATGAATTAACTTATTATATACGTATGGTAATTTTTTTCATGCAGCAAAACTTTTCACAAATGAGGCCAACTCAAACGGCCCCTCATGTTGCACTTGCACCTCGACTGCTACCATTCCCCCTGGGGTCTCACTCGATGGGGGAAGAATATTTGTACGGGCAAACACCTCCATTCATCATACCACGTCAAGTAATTCAAAACAATTTGTTTATTTTTTTTTTTTTTTTTCATTTTTGAGTTTGATGTTATCATGTCCTAGAATAATCTTGTGAATTCTCCACGGTTCAGTTAGTTTTAAGTTTTTACTCATTCACAGGGCCTACAACAGCGTACCTACATTTGAAGTTTTAATGTTTGAGTTGGTTGTGTTGTATTCTGTTCCTCTTGCATTACTAATGTTGCAATGCAATATTAGATGAACATTTGACCTTGATTACAGGGTGAATTTGGTTACCAGCAGCATTGTGTTCCTGGAATGAGACTAGTTGGTCAGGAGCCAGGAGGACACGGAGGAGCAGGTGCTCCAATGCCACTTCAACCATTGGTGCAACAACAGGTCTTATTATGCACACCTTGGTTGATTCTGTACTGTTTTTCTTTGTTAACCCCTTGTATTTGCCATGTCCAATGTCAACGAGAGGAAGAGGAACAAAATAATATATTCGATTAGAGAAAACACCTTATATTATTTTGTAAAGTGAGTTAGACTCATATACACGTTATAAGAACAGTTATTGCTGTGGTTTTCAGATGCTTCCAAGGGGACCCTTTGTCTATCATCATGCTCATGGTCCGGTGGCTTATGGCACGGGTGGACAGGCAATGCCCTTTCAGAGCTTGGTCACGGCCCTTGCCAATGCTAGTCCTGAAATGCAGAGACAGGTAAGAGCTGTTTGTTTCATTTACACATGCAGTAGGAAATTGTGATACCTACTCTCTTGTGAATGAATGGTTGTGTTTTATAGATCCTTGGTGATGCTTTATACCCGTTAGTAGAAAATCTGGTGCATGACTCAACCACAACAGGAAGGGTTACTGGTATGCTTTTAGACTTGGACCAGCCTGAGGTATTACATCTGCTTGAGGAACCAAATGCTTTCAGGATCAAAGTTGACGAGATGATAAATACCTTGAGAGACAAAACAATTGATAGACTCAAGTCAATCTCTATCCTTGATTAATTTACAGGATAGTCACATTTATGTTTCTGTCTCTTTGTAGGATTAGTTGTAGACTTGTAGTATAGTACTAACACTTCTTGGAGTACCTTTTTCGTTTCTCTTCTATACTCTATGTAACATTTCTTCATTGAAAAAAAGAAAACGAGTAGATTTCACCCTTTTACGCTGTTTCATGCTAACTTTAATTTCCCATGTTTCCTTTGTTTATGGTTAGGAGAATTAAAAACAAAAGAGAGAGGGCGGGGGGGAACAAGGCAATATTTTTTAAACCCAGAAATAATATATCAGAAGATTAATCTGGTATAATATTTATACATATGAAAAAAAAAATTTTATGAAAAGTACTGAACTTCGTCTCGTGTGTATCACCGTAGAAGAGGCACAATAGGATACCTCCACGTATTTCCCTGTCTGGTTCCAAATGGAGAATATATAGATATTTTTATTAATTTATATTTTTGTTTTGCACGACGAGAGGTGATTCATCATTCATGAACGCCTTTTCCCTCTCTTATCTTTTTTTTTTTTTTTTTTTTTTTTTTTTTTTTTTTTTTTTTTTTTTTTTTTCTCTTTTCTAGTTATCCAGATTTGTAAATCCATTTTCCAAACAAGATCTGCAAATCCACTTTCCATTTTCTCTAAATCAATGAAAACCAGATTCCTTTAAGACTAAAAAGAAACAAATTTCTGGAGTAGACTTGAAAATTCACTGTATCAACCAAATCTCCCTCTCTGGGTGAAAACTTCATTAAATTTCCTCTTTAACTCGTTTTGGATTAATAATAGATTGATTTTCTACTTTACGGTTTACATGTCTCTAAAGAAGTTGAATTGAAGTAACGTTATTTTAATTTTTAACATTATTTATGAAGTGAATGTCATATTATCATGTTTGACACAATTTCTGAAATAAGTTATTGACTACTCTAAAAAAAGTGATATTTTCTAAAATGTTATCCTCAATTAAAACAAATATCGGTAGCAATTTTATCATTATGGTTGCCATTGACTCACAATTCTGTATGGGTATCTTTTAAATTCCTATTAAATTTTTGTGGTTAATTTAAATTGTTGACCTCAAAAAGTAAATTATGAGTGTTTCAAGTGTTTTATAACAGGGTATGTACACCTCTAAGCTCTATGCGACACAAATTTGAATTCAGTGTGACTACTTGAATTCACATCGTCCAACAGAGTCCAAGTCCAACCAACTATGCAATTTAACACCTTGGGATACCATGCATATGCTGTCTCCGCACTACATCCAGGAGGGACTTCTTTACAAGAAGCTTGCCTCACTTGTTAATGAATGGGGAAAGCGGTGGCGGTTAAAAGTGGCTATGCCAACAAATTTGATGGAAAAGTGTCATCATACGTAGGCCATGAAGGAAGGGGAAGCATTGATTTGGAACTAGAATTTTATGTATTTTGTTGTTATATTCTATTAATGATTTTGTCAGTTAATATATCTATATAACAAATTTGTAAATATATATGTACCGGAAGGGTCTTATCGGCCACGAGGACCGACATGTGATGTCCTATTGGACTTTGACACAATTCTCGGCATGACCTCGGCTCGGCAGAGGACCGAAAACAAGGGACAACCCAACCTTTTTTCTATTGGCTCGGCCAAAGGCCGAGAACGAAGAGGTTGTCCTGACCTTTTCCTATCGGCTCGGCTAAGGCCGACAGAGCCAGACAGTAGTTAGGACGATGATCATGATTAACAAGGGGAAGCACGCGATTAAGGCCACGTGGACCGACACATCATGTCCTATCAGATATTGACGTAGTTTGGACACTACTTCGGCTCGGTAAGGGGTCGAGAACCATGGAGAATTCAACCCTCTTCCTATCGGTTCGACCAGAGAGGTTGTCTCGGTAGGTTGTCTCAGTCGTGCTCTGTCGGCTCGGCCAGAGGTTGTCTCGGTCGTTCCCTATCGGCTCGGCCAAAGAGGTTGTCTCGGCCGTGCCCTGTAGGCTCGGCCAAGGACCAATAGAGAATAGTTAGGATGATAATCATGGTTAACGAAAGACAACATGCAATTAAGGCGTAACCAACCGATTAACATCGTATTACCTAATTTGGTAAATGTCAGGGAAGGCCCACCCCGCTCAGGCCCATGACAGGTAGTATAAATAAGTCACACGAAACGAGGTATGACGGTTCATTTATTACTCTCGAGAACTATGCTTGTCCTGACTTGAGCGTCGGAGTGCCTTTTGCAGCTCTGAAGCATCAACCAGAAGCTCTCGTTCGGCCCTCCAGTTACTAGAAGACTACGAGTGTGCCCTTAGACAGGTACATTTTGGCGCCCACCGTGGGGCCGAGCCGAGAGACTTAAGAAGACCAACTGAGTGAGAGCATTATGGCAAAGACAAGGAAGGCCAACACCGAAGACCACCGATCCGAAGACGAACACCGATCCGAGGCAGACAATACCGAGATAGTTGACGAGACAAACATGGCCGAAGTGGTACGGCAGATGAAGGAGGAAATGGCCTCCATGAAGCAACAACGAGAGAAGGATTCTCGCGAAATGGCCGCCTTGAGGGAAGAGAACGCCGCCCTGAAACACCAAAATCAAGATCCCACGTGGAAACCCTCCGAGCCAACCCACACTTAGGGGTCATTCCACTCACTCAGACATCATACCTCCATCCCTCGTACTTCTACTGCCGCCCCGGGAAACCATGCCTCGACTGCTCAGGCACCTGGCTGACCCATGCACACCGTGCCGGCCGGAGCACACCGACACCCCTTCACCCCAAACATCATGCAATCTTCACTTCTTGATCATTGGAAGTCCCTACCGTTAGACAAGTATGACGGGACGACCGATCCAGACGAGCATGTCGACATCTTTTTGACCCAAGTTACCCTAGCACTATCGATGACGTTGCCCTGTGCCAAATCTTTCCAACATCGCTAAAGGGCCGAGCATTAAGCTGGTTCACTCGACTCCCGGCCAACTCGATTGACTCTTTCAACACGTTGGCCTCCCAATTTACCATTCAATTCGCCACTAGCCGGCCTCATCAATTGACCTCCCTGGCATTGGTGAGCATTCGGCAAGAGAAGAAGGAATCTCTCCGGACTTTCATGAGCCGATTCAATAAAGCGGCATTGGAAATCCGAGACCTGAACCCGGCGGTGGCACTTCACCACCTCACCACAGCATTGAAACCGGGACCTTTTGCCAACAGTATCTGCAAGAAGCCACCGACCGACATGGACGACTTACGACGACGAGTCGACAAGTACATGCAAATGGAAGAGCTAGCTGATTTCCGCAACCAAGCTCGAGCTGAAATTATGGGAGAGACAGAGAAGCTGATGTATGTTTGAAATGATATGTATACACAAAGGTGCACTCTTTTCCTTGATCGGTCATTTCTACCCTTATAAATATGTGAAAAGGGATTTTGGCCGACAAGGTTTTTAACGAGACACCAATCAATGAAGTACAATTCACTCTCATTCAGGACTTTCTTCTTTACTGTTTGCTCGAATATTAACTAAGAAGGCTTCCCTCCCGAGTCGTCACTCGGCCAAAGACGTACCTTCGATTTTTCTTATTAAGGTTTCCCTCCCGAGTCGTCACTCGGCCAAGGATGTACCTTCGATTTTCCTGAAAAGGTTTCCCTCCCGAGTCGTCACTCGGCCAAGGATGTACCTTTGGATTTCTTGAAAAGGTTTTCCTCCTGAGTCCTCACTTGGCCAAGGATGTACTTTCGATTTTTCTTATTAAGGTTTCCCTCTCGAATCGTCACTCGGCCAAGGATGTACCTTTGGATTTCTTGAAGGTTTCCCTCCCGAGTCGTCACTCGGCCAAGGATGTACCTTTGGATTTCTTGAAGGTTTCCCTCCCGAGTCGTCACTCGGCCAAGGATGTACCTTCGATTTTCCTAAAAAGGTTTCCCTCCCGAGTCGTCACTCAGCCAAGGATGTACCTTTGGATTTTTTGAAAAGGTTTCCCTACTGAGTCGTCACTCAGTTCGCCGTTCGGTTACCATTGAAAGACTCCTTAGGCAGCTTGAACCTGTTCGGCGCCTTCGGTAGCCTGAACCCGTTCGGCACCCTCGGCAGGCTCAACCTATTCAGCACCCTCGGTAGCCTGAACCCCTTCAACACCTTCGGCAGCCTGAACCCGTTCGGCACCCTCGACAGCCTGAACCCGTTCGGCACCTTCGGTAGCCTAAACCCGTTTGGCAGCCTCGGCAACCTAAACCTGTTCGGCACCTTCAGCAGCGTTTTGGCACCCTCGGCAACTCAAACCTATTCGGCACCTTCGACAGCCTGAACCCGTTTCGGCACCATCGACAACCTGAACCTGTTCGGCATCCTCGGCAGCCTAAACCTATTCGGCCTTCAGATTACGAGAAGATTACGAGTGTACCTCCCAGACAAGTATTACCCTCTACGTCGCTTCGCTCCTCAAGGCTGGGGGGCTTGTGTACCAGAAGGGTCCTATCGGGCACGAGGATCGACATGTGATGTCTTGTTGGACTTTAACACAATTCTCGGCACGACCTCGGCTCGGCAGAGGGCCGAAAACTAGGGACACGGCTCGGCCAAAGGCCGAGAACGAAGAGGTTGTCCCGACCTTTTCCTATCGGCTCGACTAAGGCCGACAGAGCCAGACAGTAGTTAGGACGATGATCATGATTAACAAGGGGAAGCACGCGATTAAGGCCACATGGACCGATACATCATGTCCTATCAGATATTGACGTAGTTTGGACACTACTTGGGCTCGGTAAGGGGCCGAGAACCATGGAGAATTCAACTCTCTTCCTATCGGTTTGACCAGAGAGGTTGTCTCAGTAGGTTGTCTCAGTCGTGCTCTGTTGGCTCGGCCAGAGATTGTCTCGGTCGTTCCCTATCGGCTCGGCCAAAGAGGTTGTCTCGGCCGTGCTCTGTCGGCTCGGCCAAGGACCAATAGAGATGATAGACTATGGCCCAGGCCAAGGAATCCAAGAGG